TTCAGACACAGAAGGAATTTGTGGATATTAAAGCAAAAGTTCTGAAAGAAACTTCTCTACATATACAGGATGACACATCGGTGCAGCATTGCTTTTAGTTGTTTGAGCCATAGGTTAGTTTTCTGGTCAGAAGGCAACATCATACTCTGTATCCAGATATCTGTCTCTCAGACTAACAAAACTATGTTTACAAAACAAGATGACATCTATAAAAGGATCTAAAGTTTTAATCCCCAAAGGTGCTCTGGATGAGCAGGTCCCCTCCCAGCAACCTTACTGGGACGTTGCACAGGGGTCTGATCGTACAGAGCCACTTCCAGGCTGGGAATCTAATTTCTCAGCTGCTCTTCATCTTATCTGTGACAGCTATGGAGAAGTTTATCAGTTTTTCTGTGGAGGGAGACATACTTATTTTACTTGTCTGGGTAGCAACAAAAGTACATAATACAAGGTGTTGTAGCAGCAGGCAAGCACTAATATCTCGCCCTCAGGGTTACTCATCAAATGGGGAAAGATGCCACCTAGCTGGCCTCTGCTTCAGCTTTCCTCTGCACCCTGGAATCCCTTATGTTTCTCTTGGCAGAGTAAGACCTCAGAGTTTACTTCAGCAAGTTCATGATTATTTCTCCAGCAAAGAAGAGAGTCACAAGAAGCACCATTTCATAAGCAGGGAGAGTTTGTGAATATTAAAAGTGGAGTCAACATTGTTAAATTTGATTATATGCAGTTACACCCTAAACAGATAAGCTGAGATGCCTGAAGAGTTTCCCAATCAGGCTAGTTCTGAGAGAGCCAGTGAAGCATTGATTTAACGTCTTATACAAAATTTCAGGGTATTCTGTGAACTCTTAGGCTGATAATGAAAGTGTCAGCTTCCAGAAATCAAAATATCTGTGTTGGCAACAGACATCTTAGCATGGGGAGTAAGAGTGTTGCACTAAAAAGGATTAACAAACAAGCTGACAACGTATTTTGCTATTGCAGCTGCTAATATTAGAAATGATCCTCTTACAAACAGCATGTTTCCAGCAACATGCAGAATACCTGTTTTATTTACAGCTGCACAAAAAGAACTGTGGAAAATTGGAAATGGTTCTAGGAAGGAGCCGGAGCCTTGAACAGCCTGCCCTAATGAGACTTCAGAAGCTCTCCATTGATTTACTTTATCAAAGAGAAACTGAAGAAGTGATTTGATCAGTGCCTGCATGGGTCAAGATTTCAAATGCTCAGAGGGCTCTTTAATCTAACAGAAGGTATAATAAGATTCGGTGCCTGCAAGTCGAAGCTAAGCAAAACCAAATTGCAATTAAGAAATGTTTAGACAGCAAGGGTAATTAACCATTGCCACAACTTTTGGGGTCAGAATGGAATCACCATCTCTTGAAATGTTTTAATTTTGATTACTTCTTGGAACTGTATTCCATCTTTGGTATGCAAAGAAATGTGGTGGTATGTGTTCTTATCAACAAAATGAGGACATATGACTAGAAATAAGATGTGCATATGAAATATAATCCAAAAAAGCCTGATGCACGATTCTGTATGTTTAGTAGTTTCTGAGTATTAGAGTGAATTATTTCAAGCGTCTTTCCAAAAAAATCCATTTTCTTGATTTGCTCATCTCACTGAAAACTCGTAAAAGGCACACATGCTTTAGAGGCGCTGCTGAAACTTTAGTGAAAGTCTTGGCCAATTTGTCCTACAAACTCATCCTCGTTTGCAAGGGAATGGGGGCATGTTTGTGAGAAGGGGATGGAAAGAAGGGACTTTGGAAAATTGCTGTGACTTGCCTTTAGTGCAACAATTAAAGCAGAAGTCTGACTTCTCTTGTTGTCTTTTCCAGTAATAATGGTGCCAAAAGGAATGAGATGTGGTTTATAGCTGCAACCTGCAGGAAAAGCAAAGCCTGTTTGCAAGCCCTCCAAAGACTCTTTTGGTTGATTGTCCTAGGGAGAGATCAGTTTGCTGCTACCTCCCCTCCTACCTGCATTTTGAATTGTTCACAAAATTGCTTGTAAACAGCACATCTTGAGAGAAGGTGTCGTGCCTTGCGTGAGCGCCTCATTAACCATGCTTAGGTTCAGGCTCATGGTGTGATTAGACAGAGAAGGAACAATATGTTTCTTGCATCAGGCTTTATTAGCAGAACATATGAACGCTAGGCTCGCCTCATACATAGCAATTTGTCTCCATAAAAGCCCCTCCACTCTTTCTTTGGCCCAGATAAAATGCTCATGGGAATAACTGACAGCCGTCCTGAGCTTGTGCAAGTGTCTGGCTTGGGTTTTCTTTCAGGTAGTGCAGAGGCCATGCAAGACGTGTTTGTCACGGGCGTACGGAGGAGGTGATCTTCTGCCCAGTTTCAGCTCTGCGTGTCATTCGGTTGAGAGTAGGATGACCCAGATTGTGGGACACTTTTTTTTTAAGCAGAAACTTAACTTGGCTGGGTGAGGGGCATGCAAACAGTGTGATGCCACGGACCATGCTACAAGAGCTGTTACTACAATCAGTGGGTTTTGTATCATTTTTCATCTGTCTGACCAAAGAGACCAGAAGCACAGTTGTCACTGTAAACTCAAAGGCCAGAGTCAGATCCTTCTTTGCTGCTGAGCAGCTTCTTCTAGTCCCAGATTCATAACACGGGCACCTACTTTGAGGGAAGTTATTTTGAAAAGGAGGGGGCACCACTTTTCTGGCTTTCACCTCTCCCTATGATACTTCTCTCTGAGAAGAGAGCCAAGGATACCAGAATTAAAGGATCTGATGAAGAGAGAAATTAATAATTGCCTGCAAAGGAGATGAGTGATCTGAGCTCCATGTTACAAGTAGCCTGTGCTCTGCATGTGCCGTTACTGTATTAGCACTAGAACCGCACATTAATTTTAAGACTCCCTCTCGAATAGGGATATCGTAATGGTTTTTAATTGGGGCTGATAAAAATGTGGCATTACTTGTAGGTTCCTCAGAGAAGCCAATTGTGAAATTGGGTTTGTATTAAACCTAATGATGGAAAATTAAGCATAGTACGTCTGTCGGAAATGGTCCGCGATAAAAATCTTCTCCTCTCCATTACAGGAGGTTAATAAGGAATAAGGGAGGAAAGATGCGCTGGGAAAGCGAATCCAACTAGGGGAATTAATAAGCCTTGAAATTCCCTCTGTTCAGAGTTCTCACACTGTCATTAGTCGGAGCATTAGGGATGATTATACAAATGCTTTGGATGTTACTCTTCCTTAAATCCCAAATTTATTCACATTTTGTATTTGAGGGTTGCTTCGCTAGAGCCATAGCTCTGTAAATCTCTGAGTGTCCTGGGAGTGTGACTGTGTTTATGAGAACCTGGGACTCAGAAATCCTTAAATTCAGTAGCTTAGTCTTAGAGCAGATGATCACTTTGTGCTAATTTATTTCAGAAGAAGCGGGATGTGTTTGGCGTCTCTGATAATTCAACCACCAGACTTATTTATCTCACACTGGAGATCAACTTGCCCTGTGGCAGTGTCCACTGCTGGCATTCCTTTCTCTTTCTCAGAGTCTTGCAACTTCAAAACAGAGCATATGCCTGTCTTGATATCTTCCCCCTACTATAACAGTAAACCAGCTAAAGCATTATTTGTGGTGTTTTGTCATGTCGTTGGTTTGCCAGCTGCTGGGAAGGCAGCCGAATGCACTCATCTGTCTGCTCCTGCCCAACTCTGCAGTGAGGGGCAACGGCAGAGATCCTGACTGCTTCTGATCAAAACTCCATGGCGATTTCTCAAGCATAGCAGTGTCTACAGTAGCACTCCGGCCGTATTTCTGCCTCACAAAAATCACCCTGAAATTGCAATTTGATTTATTTATTCTTTATCCCTTCAAAAACATGACTGCAGTATTGCTGACAAGGGATAGTGTTTAGGCTCTTTGTCAGTAAGCTTTCTGTAAGAAACAAGCCTTGTTTGTGCAGTCTTAAGGGTTTTTTTATGAACAATTTGAGAGAGGTATATTTTTTGTTTGCTAATAGCTTCATTTTGGGTAAGACCAGAAAGAATTGATGCAGACTGATACGGTCTGTATGTGCGAAAGAACCCAAGCATCTCAGATGCCTGTAATCATAGGAAAAAACAATGGTTTATTTGGCCAACTGTCTAAATTTGGTCAACTCTGGTAGATAAGAAACTAAATTTTTCACCTAATCTGAGTTTCTGTTGTTAAAAATAACTATTGTGACAGTCAATTGTTTGGTTATTTAAGCTCTTTTCTATTAGTTCACCGGGAATATTTTTTTATGTATGTGTGTTGTGCTGGGGCTGTAAGAGGTTACAATTCCATCTGCATAGTGATAGAGATTTTTTTTTAATCCATTTCTTTCAAAAAGAAACTTTTTCTGTTAAGTTTACATATCTGAAATTTTAACTTTCTGCATGCAAGATAGCTATATTTTTATGCTGGTTTATTCTTTCTGATAATGTTACATCTTTGTAATTTACATATAAATTTTAGGCCTGAACTAGCAGAGCAGTTTAATTTGCCTCTAACATCCTGTGTGGCTTATTTGAAATGCTAATAATTTGTTTGCTATTAACTTGGGCCCCTTTCAGTTATCTCATATTGTACACCCCAAATCCCACTTGAATATCTTGTTCATCTCTGTGTATCTTTCAGTCATGTTCTTTGCAGGTTTGTGACGAAAGGTATGTAATTCAATTGGAGTCGTTATGCAGAGCTCACCCTTACAAAATGTGCTATTTCGCTCCATGTGCTGTGTCCTCGTTAGCCTGATTGGCTCTTTACTCTGTGTCCCATCTCTCTGGGTTTGTCTCCTTCACGCAAAAAATATTGAAGTGCGATTTAGTCTTTCTAGGCAGCTGTAGGCAACTGTGTGTTTCCTACTTATTTCTTTACTTTCTTCTGCCTGCGCCAACCTATGGGGTGGTGGAGAAACAAATAAACAGAGCAAGAGTGAGAGTGGAAATACCAGATAGGTGAAAGCTTGTTTTGCCTCCCTGTCTTTAAAACAGACAGTAGCCATGGAGAGATGACCCAGCCAACCCTGACTATCCAGACCCACCCGTACCGGAGCTGCGAGCCGGTGGAAATGTCCTACCCCCGGGGGCAGTTCCAGCCAGCCATCCGAGTGGCCGACCTGCTGCAGCACATCACCCAGATGAAGCGAGGACAGGGCTATGGATTTAAAGAGGAGTATGAGGTGAGAGGAACCTTCACTCACGTGAATAAGTAGAGAAGTTGCACTCACAAAGGATAGATGCTTGGGAGGGGAGGATAACGGGGTTTAAGAGCTTCTTTTCCTTAATTCACTTACTGTCTTAATCCTTTCCTTTCTCCATCTTATTTCTGTTTATGAGGGTAGGATTTCACAGCGCTAGCAGTCTTTGGTGGCCCTCTAGTCCAAAGAAAAGGTGTTTACTACAGCAGTAAGATAATGACATTGTGCTCATCTGTTAGCATGTGCCCTCTCTCCCATAAAGAGCAGACGATAAATATTTAACAGGTGCTGAACTCAGTGAAGGACTTTGAGTCCCACAGTCCCTTACTTATTGATGTGCTTTCGTTGACAGCAGTGCAAGCCAGGCTTTGAGGAAAGGAAGGGGTTTTGCTTGAGCTTTTTGGGAGCTCCAAACACTCTGTAACAATTGATCAAATTAAATCACAGTGTAATAACCTGAATGCAGAATTGTAAAAGCAAAGGCAGGAACCTTGTGTAGCTTAAATGAAGGTGGAGTTTTCCAGTATGCTCAAACCTCTGGCTCGGAATATGTTTGGCTGATCTACTCTTCCAACTCCATGTGAAGAGAGGAGCAAAGAGTAAGCTGCAAAAATGAAAGCAGCCCTCCTCCCCACCCCCAGCTCTTCCCCCCAAGCTGGAATGACCAGGAATGTAATCCAAATGACAAGAAGAAACATGACATTGGGGAGGAGCTGGAAGAGGAATATACATTTAGAGGAGAGAGAACAGATGAGGGAAGTAGTATCAGACATATGTGAGACTTTGCTCTAGCAAGCGATAATTATAATGAATGTAGTAAGCTTGTGGGAAGGCAATAAGCAATTAATATACATAGTGGCATTAAAACTACTTAAAAATAACATAACAGCTGTGAAAAATAAGTTACTTAATGAAAACGGCTCACTTTTCCACCCTGCAAGTAAGAGTCCATGGGGTTTGTATCACTGATGCTGGGTTTTGCTGTAATTGAGAGGCAATCTTTCCCTGGTTGTCAGTAGGGAGTATTTTTTTAATCAGATAGCATCAAAGAGTGTCATAACAAATGTTTCTGGTAACTGTATGTTAACCAGGTCTAGTCGCTCATGGCCCACAATCAGGCACGCTAATTAAACTATCAATATAAAGAGCTCTGTTTAATATTGAAAACGGGTAATAATTCTCTCAGGAGATTTACTTAGCCTCCCCTTGGCCTCCATTTCCATGAATACTACCCAAAACTACATCCAGCTCAATTTCAGACGCCCTAAGATCTAGTTCTTGATGTTCAAGAAGAAAACAGGTGCTGGCATATATGTAATTTTCTGGCACTGGCATTGGTAATTATCAAAATAACACATTAGCATGAAAAATGTCAATGCAACTTTCAGCTCCCCAAGTTCTGCCTTCCCCAGAAAGTGCTATCTGCATACGTATATAATGATGATGACATTATATAGATTTGCATAATTCCTTTCTTTACAAGAAATAGCCTGGAGAATGCCACGAGCTCTCAAATCACCCATGCTGTTCTACCCTTCAGTTAGAGGTAACTGCCCGAAGTAGCAGTCATTTTCAATGGTGGAATTTGGTTTTCGGAGCGCGGGATGCAGGCAGCACTTCAGCTCCAACCAGCTTTCAGCCACCACCAGCAATATCACAAATGGGGGGGGGATGTCAAGGAGCGTTATAACTCCTGGAAGGTAGGAGGTTTAGGTTGGCTGAGAGTGGTGTCTCAGACTGGAATCTGGAGGAACACAAAGGTGCAAAACCGGCTTTGCAAAATGTTTTGCAGAATGGTTGATAAAATCTTAAAAATAATTTGATGTCTCTTTTAAAATGTGTTTTCGTACACTGATATCAGTGTCACCTCCAAATATGTTTTTTCTTCTAAGGAGCTGATTTTCTACTTACTTTGCAAATTGATAGCATAAATTACAGCCTATTTAGTGACATGTTACCAAATAATTTTACTCTCATGAAAAATCACTTTGAACGGAGTGTATCAGTCACACATGACAATCTCTTATCTCTCTACATTCCCATCTCCACTGAATTTCTCCACTGGAAATTGCATTCGGTATTTGTTTAAAATAAACCTTCACCTACAGACCATTAGAGCACAGGCAGCATGTTTTACCAAGGGCATCTAGAAAAATATTTCTGGTGCTTGCATCTTGCACGTAACTCCACGCTGAGATGAAAAGCAGGATGTGATCGTGTAAGTGGTGTCACTGCTGGTGTGAAATGGATGATAACTCTGTGTGTGTGTGCGCGCACGTGGGAATCCGTTGATTGCCATGTGAGTGTTATTTTGGGTCTGCCTGCTGCACCTGAGGCCAAAGTGTGGCTTGGGCCTTTTTGGCTGCTGCTTCTGCTTAGCAATAAAACGTGTAGACCACAAGAGAGAAATATATCACTGGCACTGGATGTAGATAGCACTATTTGGGATTAGGCATAGCCGTAAACATTTGAACGGGACACGTTTAAATGTCACCTGTTCCTTTTTCAGAACATATCAGCCCTAATCTGTTGTGAGCTGCGGGACTAGTCCCATAGACTTACTGCGAGCACCAATTACTGGCTACGGAGATAATAAGCTTAAGTATCCAAACTCATTTTCCATTATGATTTAGGATGTCACTAAAGTACATTCTCCTGCTGCATTACTGAGACCGTTTAGTTATTTTGGATTTTGTGGCTCCTTCCTCAAGCATCTTAGTATTGAGGGTCTTCAGCTTATTGAATTCACCTCTGTATTTTAACCCTTTCATTTCTGGCTGGCTGCACGTCTTCTCTCTGGTCAAAAGAATAGATGCGTTCAGGCTGTGACGTGACATTGCAAAATGTTTGGCAGCAGGGTGTTTCTGTAGATGCTGTCCTTGGACATTGTTGGCTTAAGGCTTTGCTACGAACAGGAATGGGGAACTGAACTGGCTGAAATATTTCTTTTTCGGTTATTTTATTTATCCAAAGCAGTTTTTAACCCTGCGTCACAGCAGAGTTGTGGGAACAGTTTTGCCACCGCTGTGGAGAAGGTAGTGGCTGCAGGGAGAGGGCCAGGACTCTGTGGCAGGCTTTGAGATGAGCAGCAAGGCTTTCAATTGATGTTGTTGCCTTTGGCAGCAATACTGCAGCATTGGGGTAGGTCAGTGCAAATGAACGATTCAAGTTTTCATATTTAAATTAAAAACAAGCAGCAAACTAACTAAATGCATCCATTGGAAATTTAAACTGGCTTGCAATAACCCTCAGTTTAATGTGAACACTTTAGTTATGTTTGGGCTATGTTGCTTAGAAAGCTTGATTGAGATGAAGCTAACTTTTAGAGTTCTATCCTTGTAATTTCAGATAAAAATTAGATCAATTTAGTTTAAAAAGCATCACTGTAACATAAGTTCCACTACTGGGAATATATTTCAATATAAATTTTACAAAACTTCTCTAAACCTGAAAATCAAGTCCAGATTTTTGAACTCTGAAAGTTTGCAGTTGTTAAATCAAACAAAGAAGGGGGAGCGTTTCCTGTGAAATGCAGATCAAATACGGATGCCTGAGTGAGCTATCCTGATTTACCATTGCTGATAATGCAGAGAGAAACAGAAATATTAACCCTTTTTTTCTATCATAGAGATACTTATTTTAGAAACAAAAACTGAAGGAACAAAACATTAGGTATGCTCCTCTTTTTCTGGATGCAACTGAATTATAATTGATATTTTTGCCTTTGTACTACTAATGCAGTTTCAATTCTTGGTGCTGCATTTTTTAGTGATCTCACAGAAAAATTGTTGGTGCTGTACCACCCGTGTACATGCAGTTACTCCAATTTGCTCATCTGGTGTGTATGAAAGTAGGGGTATAAGGTACGCCTCTGCAAAGGCAGTTTGTGTTCCTCACCAACCAGAGCTGTGCTTCCTCTCTTCAGAGTTGGATAGTTCTGTGAAAAGCCAAGATTTCTTTGGTATTGAATGAGATGACAAATCCTGGACTCTTAAATCTTGGGAGGCTCTATCAGGCAAATCTAAAAACATCAATTTCAATGGAGAATCACATGAAAGGATGGGGTTTGCTGAAAAGGGATTTATTGGACCTGAATGTATTTTCTTTGGCCAAGATAGCTTCTCCCATGTGGAAGTCATGAGAAAGGATTTTCTTCTTTTCCTTTTTCCTTTTTCCTTTCAGATGGCTAGGATTAGATGTCTAATGACTGTTGCCATTCTCTGGTCAATCTGCTGTAATTTGTTATTAGTGGAAAAATAAGGCACCTTTTTCCTCAGTCTTTGAAGATGAAAATGAACCTTCCTCACCTCTTTTCTTTTGCTTGGGGATTTTTTTGTTGTGTGTGGGTTTGTTGGTTGGGGGTTTTTTTGTGCTCAGGAGATGAGCTGCTATTTGGAAACAGCTGTCTGTAAAGGAAATATATGTGTGATCAAAGCCCTCACCAATTAGAGAGTTATTACTCTTTCTCCTGGGCTTTTGAATAGGAACTCACCGTCCTTGTCTTTTGTCAGCAGTGCTCCTAGCAGTGCTGCAGTGCCTGACATTTTCTGTCCTGGAACCCCTTTGGGGAAAATTCACAACGATCTGGTCTGCCAGGGGTTTGCTCATATTAAGTTTAATTGTAATGCCAGTGTTGTAGATCCTAATAGTTGTGTGTCTCTGCTATTGCATTCAGGCACTGTAATAGACCTGGATGGCTTGCGAAGATGAATATAAATTCATTTTCTAGCACAGCTGTGTCAAGCTACCCACTGCTAGCTAAGGCAGATACGATTCTACAATGATGGTGGTATAAAAACCCTGTAATTCCCTGGGGACCATAAATAATACAATTTATAATGTCGCTGCTCTTTTTAGTCATGTAGGATCATGTTAGGGAGTCGATCTTGGAGGAGGCAGATCTAGAGAGGCAATTGAGTGGGAGCTGTTCTTCTCCTCACCTGTGTTTTCAGCACAAGTCAAGGCTAGGCTGACTGAGCCGGCACCAGCGGTTTGCAGATCGTGGCTTTCCATCCAGTTGTGATGCCGGCAATACCCAGGGAGCTGGTGCTGTTGCTGTTTCAGCAGAAAGCACTGCTGTGCCTGCTGCTTTGATCTGCCTGTGCTGACATCCCCGACCGTCCTGAGACAGGGAGAGGGATGCTGCCTGCTTACAGGCAGTCCGGGCCATCTTCCAAGGAAGACAAGACCGTCCTTCAGCCAGATCCCGTGACAGCTGCCATTTTCCTGGCTTTGCCTTGAACATCCTTCCTGGACGTGTCTCAAGGGGAAGGTGGCTCATCTGAGTGTGTTCAGAATATAGGACCAGGCTATAGGGTAGGGTAGCATTGTGTGCTGCCAGTTTCCTTACCCCATCCTTGTCAACTGAAAGAGCAGATTTTAGGAAAATGACTATTTATTTTCATAGTTCGTGGGCATGTTTTACCTCCTTTTACCTCTCTTCCTTAGGCATGATCTAAAACTCTAAGCTTTTTTATTTCCCCCCCAAGAAAACCAGCTAGTGGTTTGTATTGCATCACCCCATCATTGATATAGAAACAGGTGAAACCACCGTATCTGTTTTCAACTTAAATATGAAAGACTAAGCACTATGTTTCAGCCATCTGGATTTTCTTAGAAGTGTATGTCTGTGAAATCTCCACAAACCCTGTTCTACAGGAGAAATGAGGTTAACCTGTGACTGTGCAGCCAGAAATAAATTCCCCTGATCCTTTTAGAGCTGAAGTAGCAGGAGGAAAATGATTCTTCACTGGCAGAAGCCAAGAGGTGCAAATGGTCTGCACCAAGCTCTGCTTTTTGCGTTAGTGGATATGCCCTTTTCTCAAGAACAGGTGTTTGCTTGATTGACTACTGAATTATGCAGCACCTTTATTTTTGCCCTGCTCAGTCATCTTAATCCACCTGAAGGCATTGGCCAGATTTTTATAAACACTCTGCTATTGTTTATTTTGCAGGCACTACCCGAGGGGCAGACGGCATCCTGGGATACAGCCAAGGAAGACGAAAACCGCAATAAGAATAGATATGGAAACATAATCTCCTGTAGGTGTAAATTCACATTAAACTGAGCTTTCTGTAAGATTTTATGTGCATCCTGTGCAAAAGCGTGTGTTTGAGAATCTCACTAAAAGCTGGTTTACAGTGCTGAGCATTCAGTAGTTCAATCTGTTTGTTACAGGCTATGTTTCTATGATTGTTTTTTTTAATTTTATGGTTTTTTCATTGTTTTACATAAAGTCATTGCATGACTTTACATTTTTTTACACATTTTCTATCTACCTTGCTTTGCACTTAATGTTTGTAATTTAAGGGCTAAATCCTTTTGTCAGACTTCCGCAGTGGACGATGATGCCCATTTTATGTCCATTTTTGCTACATAACCCGGAGCATTCAGTGCCACAAATGGGAGCACAAAAGGAGATGCAAATAGATCAGATTTTTAGATATGGATCAGAGATCAGATTTTCTCCTTCCCTGTGGTCAGTAACCAGTGGAGCAGTCACTGCTTGTCCCCAGAGAGCTGGTTTGATGTGTGGGACAAGCTTAGCTTCTGCCCCAGAATCACAATAAGGCAGCTGAAAATGTGCTGAAGCTTTTTAGTTTTACTTCTTTCAGGAGCCAATTACTGTTAGTGTTATAGGAATATTGATACATTGCAGAACTGCAGGGTGGTGAAGGACTCCATAAACCCATTTAGGTCAGCTTTATTCTCCAAGTCAGGACTAAATTCACCTCTGTCGTTTGCATCAGATATTTGTGAAGCCTATTCCTAACGATCTCCAAAGCTGAGCTTTCCACAAGCTCTCCAGGCAGCTTACCCCAGTGTTTCATTATTCCTTATAATGACTGGGGAGAAGAGGTGTGAGAAATCATTCTTTTTAAGGGCTGCTGAGCAGCATCAAGTTGGAGAAGCCAAGCCTGAGAGCATCAGAACAAGAAATAAGAATATAAATGAATGTGCCATAGATTTTCATGACTGGATAAATCTATGGAATGCTATAAGAGCAAAATTAAGTCACGCTGAGTGATATATTTAGTACTTTATTTTTTTCTCAGGTTAAATATGTATTTCTTCTAGAACAGACAGACTTAACTAAAGAAGTAAAAAAAACGCACAAAACTTGGCCATAAAGAAAGATCATCTCACACATATCTTAACTACTCCTCTCTTTCTTTCAAGACTTGAAAGAAATGATTCATGTAAGACATTTTGGGGAATGGCACAGAACAGCTCAGTTCAGGGCCCCCGTGGTAAAGGTGAAGAAATCTGAAAATGGAGATCAGAAGTTTGTGAGCCCTGATCTGATCCCACTTCTGCTGCTGGCTCTCTGCGTTGGTTGTGAGCAGGTCACCAGTTCCATCCGTCTTTGTTTCTCTAGGGGGAAAAATGGAAGTGATAGTACTGCAGTATTACAGTTAGTGTGAAAATTGTCTCCCTAAACTTCAGCTGCCTAAAAGCTCCACCTCACTGTTAAGTTTCCTATGTTCCTAGTGGCAAAGAGAGATACCTCCGGACAGACCTGTCTATATGAATAGCTTAGATTAAATTAGTCTAAGACAGATGAATCTTCCAGCTATAACAACTACACATTGGAATGCAGGTGAAAGTGCCATAGTATGATATAAGGAAGGAAACGAGAAAGACTCTTTGTTTCTCTGTATGATTTTGAGGAAGCAGTTGACATCATTTAAAAGTGGAGGAGAAAAGAGACAAGACTGTGTGCCATAGCCACCATCTAATTTATGTTGAAGGTGGTCACAAAGAAAACGTTGAACTCCCAAGTGAAATGTGAGAAGAAATTAAGGAAGCCAAATCGAGGAAGATAAATGGGGTATTATCTAAAGGGAGGGTGTTCACAAATATGAGTTGTCTAACGAAGAGTGATGTTAGCCTTTTAGCTATAAATATAAATACAGTAGCAATACAGATAAAAGGTGATGCGCTTGAAAAAGGGAATGCAAAATGTAATCAAAGCTAGGGAAGAAGTGTCTGTGCGGTATAAAACATCAGGAAAGAAGCTCAAGTTTGAGGGCTGTTGGGAAGGATTTCAGAATGAGGTTGAGAGGGTAGAAAGGCATAGATAAAGAGAGCAAGGCAGTGAAAGAGAGGAAGGATGCAGAAGAGTTAAACGTAAATAATGAAGTTGAGTGGGTTTTCTTTGCTTCTAATATATATCAGAAGAAAGAGTTTGAGGAGGAGACAACAGCTCTCCTAAAAGACAGCAAGGAGAATTTAGTAATGTGCAATAAAGAATGATAAAATGGAGTGAAATCCTTGCTTCACTTTGAAGAGGCTAGGGAGAAGGAAGGGAGGATGCCTAAGGAAGGAGCGTATCATTCATCAGACATTTTGTAAAACCACTGGGAACTTATCAGTGGCGTCACTGGCTAAGCCTTGAGCCAGACCCCACTGACGGGCGATGTTGGACAACTTTCCTGAGTAAAGGCAACAACAGGATCCAGAATAGGGAATTGATAGCAGAGCTGAGAATAGCAGGAGAGTAGTTCCCTCTGGGCAGATGATGAAAACAAATTGTGCTCAGTGGGTACAAACTGTGCAAAAGCCTGGGCTGAGGAGGAGAGGTGGAAAACGATTACACCCCTAGCTGCTTTGTTGTACTAGAATTGTAATTGCCAGTAAAACCCAGAGTATGCACTGATTGCTCCTACCAGTTTATTTGGTAAAAGGCTGCAGATGGCAATTAACATTATTTATTTAACCACAGTTGCCAGTTCATCACTCCTGGAACAAGATATCCCATGCCTTTCGGGGAGTGAATTGAAAAGTCAGGTTTTGATCTAACTTTTGTAACTGCTCCAGAGACTTTTGTTAAAATGTGGGTTTGTAAGCTCTTGCAATAAGTAGCATTGCTCAGTGAATCACAGCAGATTGGATCTTGTCTTTATGGCCTTCTGGGTAATAGTACACTTACAGGACTGTTTTACTCGGCTCACTGCTTTCCCAGGGCTGTATTAACATCGTGCCTCTCTATGAAAACCTAGATCTTACTGCCAGCCCCAACATCTGCTGTTCTTACATTTGCAAACCAAAACTGCAGATGAGGCTAATCTATTCATGGAGAGGAGATGCAGGAGAGCTCTAAGCTCTCCCATGCTTTAAACCCCAGCTTTTCAGGGTTCCCTTCAATCTGCAACACTGGTATGTTTTCTGGAGAAAAGGAAAAGCTAAGGAGTGGATTTGGGGTCTGGATGACCACAGAAATCCACTGTTGATGGTGGAAGGATGCACTGTAATTGCACAGATTTGCCATGCTGGAGAAAGCTGCCCTCCTCGAACTTTTTATTATATTGGCAGAGTCCATGAGCTTTGCTCCTGCGCTTTGGGTATAAAAGAGGTAAGCACAAAGACAGTTGTGGAGATGCAAGATTTTTCTTTAGGGGGCAAGGGTAGGTAGTGTATCCATTTATGGGCTGAAGCAAAATGATTTAAATTTGCTTTAGGGACTAGATATTGAGGCCTTCAAAGCACATCAGCAAGTGGTTGTTAGGGGGAGGGACGTTGAGCTTTTGTGGGTTGAGCTGAACCCATTACATAGAAGAGAAAACATCCAGAAGCTATATGGGACCTTTGGTTCTATTCAATTTCTCCCCATCTTGTGGAGATTTAGAGCCATTACATTATAATAGAGTAAAAGCTCTCAGATGAGAGCTGAGGACATAAAGACATAGGGTTGTGTTTTGCTTCGACTTACAGGAGAGCACTTTCTTTCCCTTTTCTCCCTTTACTGAGGGTAACATTACAGGAGGTCAGCGCTCACAGGAGTGTGCGTACTGATGGTACTTCAGACACATCCTCCCATCTGCAGTGGAGCATCTTCCCACTTAGGCACCGTGGTTTTAAAGTCTTGTGATGGTCCGTTAAAAACTATTGAGTTGATGACAAAAGACAGTAGAGAAATTTGCTTGATTTCCTTCATGTTCTGACTACCATATGCTTTGGGCTGGAAGACTGAATTAATAAGAGAATTTTGTGGTGGAAGAGACGAACAACAGAGAGATTAACGGAGCTCTCGGCTGAAACGCAGGTGGATGCACTTCTTGGCCATGGGCAGGGATAATGCATAAAATTAAAAAAAAAAAATCATGTCAGTATTAGATTTAGAATAGAAGTCTTTTGTCTTCCAAGTGTTTTTGTTTTTATTCCATGGTTTCTTCTGTAGCGCCTATGCTCTTGCTTGTCTGTGCAGTGTCCATGGTATGTGATCCTGAGAGGGTGGGATATATCTCACCTCGCTATTACCCAGTTCTCAAGGCACAGTCCAGGACCAGTGGGGAAAGAAAGGGGAGGGCAGTGTGCCTTGGGAGGGCCGATCATCCTTTTGTACCAGAACTGGGTTGAATAACTTCAAAAGATGTCTGTATTTCTCCATTGACTGTGTGGAGAACCTTGACAGCCAGTTTAGACTAGCTGTGTAATATTTAGACGGCAAAAGTTGTGTGAGATTAATCCAGTGCTGGTGTCAAAATGAGATGTGGAAAAATTGCAGTGATCGCTAATGGGAATTTTGACAGAAGTTTGAAACGATAACATTTTTGTGCTAAAATGGGAGCACAATGCTTTTCAGTGAAATTCTTGTCATTTTTTAAATCTGTTTTAAGACCAATTTTCAGGCAAGGTACTCTTCATACAAATTTAGGGTTCTGCTAACTTGCGTACAGACTACAGTAAATAGGGAGAAATAAAATCATTTATACATTTGTTAAGTATATTTCCATTTTTTGCAGTCCTGAATGTTACAGACATGCAATTTTTCTTCTGTTTCTCCCTCCATTTTTAAAGTTTTTTATAATCCATTTGTAACACACGGTGATAGGATGTCTGATAAATTTACAGAAGAGTTGAGCGACACTTTCATTTCAGTGTGCCAAATATGTAGTCTCCTTGGCTAGTGTAGTCCAGTGGAAAGGGTGCAGAATCAGAAATAAATTCTGACCATTGGGAGAAGATATAGTGAAGACATTCACTGTTCTTTAAAAAGTCCTTTAAAGTCCATAGATGAAAAAAACTAAGTGCAAGATAATTACTCTTAGTAGCATAATAAGTTGCATTGGTTTTTGCCCCTCTCCATTAAAAAAAAAAAGCCAACTAAATTCCAATGGTTTTTGGGGAAAAAGGGGATTTACAAGGTAAGTTATTTAATGAACTTTTATTCAGACTGTGCTCCTAAACAGGCACCATTAAAACATCATTAATATTTTGTGTGCTTACCATATACACAGATTTTTTTTCTGCCGCACTGTTCACACTCATAAGAGAAATAAATCTCCCACAGGAATTAATCTCATTGTTGTAAAATGTGCAATGAATTATTGTGAATTCTGTCCTCCTGAAGCAAACTTCAACTAAAAGTATTTTTCATTTGGTCCCAAAATATAATTGGACCTAAACCTGAATGTCTCCTTTTTTAAAAATACCATTCATTTCCAATGGACATTTCTTCATCCGTTGCTGTTCTTCATGAATAGAATAACCATATTTGGCTTAAAGGGAAAAAAAACAACAACACTTTTTACAGCTACAGAGCATCTTTTCTTCATCTAATTGTCTTAAATGCTTAGACCTCTTCTGCAGTCTCCTTCTCAGGTCTTTCACACCTAGCTCCCTCAGAAGGTATTCATCCTGTCTGTTTTAAGTTTTTAACTAAAGAGCGGCTCAAAGAGCTGAAACTTAAATTTTGCATTTGGTTCTATTAAATGAGGAGAGGCAGGTTCTTCCTTGAGGGCTATTCAGAGCACTTCGACTACACGCTGTGCATAGACAGTGTCTTTGTCCCGCTTAAAAAATCCACCTGAGATTCTTTTCACCTGCCTGCCATTAGGGTCATTTTTGGTCTCATCTCTTTTTAGTTCTATTGTTGCAATAAGTTAAGACTTCCATAACGTTGTTATGTTGTGGTATCACAAGAGGAGTTAGTAAATGTTCCCCTCCCAGCCATTAGCTCTGGGGTTTGTTTTTTTTCTTTGCTTTTGTGTGATTCTTAACTAGCCTTAGTTCCCTGCCTTGAATTGCAAGTCTGAAATTGTCTGTGGGACATTTTGTGTATTTCGTCTAGATGTCCCATTTAATCAGCTCTTGGTCTGTCTTTGTGGATTGCTCTAAGTATAAATTCTTTTGTTGTCTGTCTAACCGCATGATTTACTGCAACTCCTAGTGCAGTTGCCTTGAGCGCAGGTAATTGTCTAGAGTTGGGAACATCAGCACTCTGAGAAATATACCTACTTCCACTGTGTCTACAAAAGGTATATTTATTAATACAAATATAACAGAGCTTTTGATGGATTCAGCTGAGTAACCTTTTTTGAATGCAAATATGGGATTTGATAAATACAGCAATGTGGTTGTATTTTTTGGGTGTGAAAATCTCACCCAAAGAATGAAGAGAGTATGAGAATCATTGTTTTACATAACCGAATGAATATTTAACATATATCCGAATCTTGGTTTTCAGAACTGCATGCACATCTGTCTTCACAGTTATTATCTGATTCTACATTTAATTAAGTGATGACTAAAACCCTTTTTGACTGAGTTACTGCAGAATCACACCTCGTATTTTTATGTTTCATTGCTGTGATTCTTTTTAATGGAATGTAAGTCATGCTGAGGCCCGTATTTTGCAAAGTGCTTCTAAACATTAATGCTTTACTGACTGAGAGCTAGGGTCTACAGAGCTGGTAGAGAGGAAGTAAACTTAATGGACTCTATATTATACTTATTTAAAAAATTGTTTAAAAATGAGCCCAGCATGCCCAGCTGTGACCTCTGTACCCCAGTAGCCTTTGCCAAGCAACTGGCCCTTAGATAGCAGTTCTGCAATCAATTGCATACCAGTGCTGGGATTGCCAGACCAAATCAGCTCAACAGCCCAGCTCACGGAGTATCTCCTTTGACAGAGCCCAGCACCAGCTGTTCCAGAGAAAGATCAAAATATTCCCTTGGTGGAAAATCATGACATAATCTGCCCGCTGGGGTAGTTCCTTTCTGCGTCTGAACTGTAGAGCATGCTGGGAGATGAAAAGCTTGATATCTGTTATTTTATTGCTTTATCTAAAGTAATTGTGAATGTCCTCAAAAACATGAACGTTTCTAATTTATTTTTTTTAACGCTGCCTTGATGCAGTTTTGTTGCTGTGAGTTCTGTGGGTTGCATAAAGGAACACTGCTCTGATTTCCTTTGGTATTTCCTTTCAGGTTTCTGGGTTGCCCCATTTCTTATTTGCAGGATTTCATTTGCCATTTTACCCTCCTTAATCTTTTATACCTCTGTCGTGACCTATTTATTTTTATCCTGATCTTGACAGTTTTAGCTCTTGCCTCAGTTTCCATAGATCAGACGAGGCCAGGGAGGCTGTTACTTCCAAGCGTGAAGAAGGCTATTGTAATGGAGATCTGTCCCAAGACCCCCAAACCAAGCAACGTTTGTGGTCTGTCTAAAAGCTTTGTAAGAATTATGGTGACAGCAGTGAATTTAATGAACACCGAGTATGAATGAACACTAACCTAAGGATCTAAACGTTACATCTTAAACACAAAAGAAAGGGCTTGTAGGAACAAGAATACCTGTGATATTCTTTCATATTTTATTATTGTAAGGATTCAATTACCCACCTGCGGGAATCAGCAGATTAACAAAAAACACTTAGAAACTCCTCTTTATCGTTACTGTCACTTTTTTTTCTTTCCTTCTTTCAGATGATCATTCAAGAGTGAGATTGCAGCTGCTGGATGGGGACCCTCACTCTGACTACATAAACGCCAATTACATAGACGTAAGGCTCCTGGACGTTCCTGCTATGACAAACACTCCTGCTGACAACTCTGCTTATGAATTTGGTGCATCTGCCATAGGGACAGACTGTTGATCTGATACGAGTGACAGCTGAACATTATACAAACATAGTGTCGTGACAGAGAGAAGGTTCTCAGTCTCCAGTTTATTCTGTCTGACCAATCTGGACAGATGGAGATTTCCTGTGTTTGACAGATCCACCAACATAAGTGGAATGTGGGCTAAATGACGTATGCGGAAATCAATATCGGCCCCTCGCAATAGTGATAGTAGATATCTGAGACTTACCGACTTCTTACAAAGTTGCAGTGCAGAAGGCGTGTAAATAGATTGACATTTTTTCTTTTTAGTGTTATAAAATAACATTCAAAAAGCAGCCTCGCACGCACACACAGAATGATCAAATGAACATACGTTTCTTGTGTGCATCTCCTAAATCTTAGGAATGTGACAATGTTCAGAAGAGTTTCTTTAAGGGATGAAAAATACACCTAATAAAGTTACATAAGACTGATATGCAGCATTTTCATACAGAGGCAAATGCATACCTTTCTTCTTTTTCAAACAAGAAGGTGCACCATTTTGCCTATTAGTTTTCAGAATTGCCCACAGGTTAGTCACAGGACTTGTGTTTCTTTGAGGAAATAGTGAAAACTGACCCATTCCTGTTTTCTCTTTGGCATAATGAGACTTTATTATACAGCCTGAGCAAGATACTATCGCTTAAAATCTCATAGGGCAGCCTAGTTGCCTATCTTCATTCATTCAGTAACCAGAGTTAGTACATTGTTAAGAGTGCAGCATTGCTGGTACCTGGAAAGTATAAAATACATGATGTGCTTGGTCTGAACTGTGATCTTGCAGCCCGTCACATATTTTCTTTTTTTCCAGGGGTACCACCGGCCTCGCCATTACATTGCAACTCAAGGCAAGTTCATTCTTGTATGTCTAAATATTTGTAAAACCACTGCTGTTTTAAACTGTTGTAAGAGCTGTTTATAGGGTGACACCTTCTGTTTTGGGGGACATCTGAAAATTTGGTATAGGGGCACAAAAGGGAAGGATATAGAGTGTTCCAAGATCTTTAAGGCACTGTCGTGGTTTAACCTCAGCCGGCAACTCAGCCCCACCCAGCCACTCGCTCATGCCCCCCCCAGTGGGATGGGGGGAGAAACCGAAAGGGAAAAGTGAGAAAACTCGTGGGTTGAGATCAAGACAGTTTCATAGGTAAAGCAAAAGCTGCGCACGCAAGCAAAGCAAAACAAGGAATTAATTCACTCACACCTAACGGTGACTTGGGAAGACAAACGCCATCACTCCGAACGTCCCCCCCTTCCTTCTTCTTCCCCCAGCTTTATATACTGAGCATGACGTCCCATGGTATGGAATGTCCCTCTGGCCAGTTGGGGTCAGCTGTCCTGGCTGTGCCCCCTCCCAGCTTCTTGTGCCCCTCCAGCCTTCTCAGTCGGTAGAGCATGGGAAGCTGAAAAGTCCTTGACTAGCGTAAACACTACCTAGCAACAACTAAAACATCGGTGTGTTATCAACATTGTTCTCACCCTAAATCTAAAACACAGCACTGTACCAGCTGCTAGGAAGGAAATTAACTCTATGCCTGCCAAAACCAGGACAGGCACTCAAACGCAAAACCTCAGCTACAGGAATAAAACAATGCTACAGACTTAGAGGTGGCAGTGCAATCTATAATGCATCCTTTGTGCATGAAGTATGAGATTAGAACTAATAGATTTTACAGATCTTGGGTTTACCTTCTGAAATGAAATTGCTTGAGGAGGGCAGTATGAATAAGCCTGTGACTGATGAACTTTTGGTTACTGGGAACTAGTAGGAAATACATTTGAACACCACCTTCTGTAAGTTAGTTGATGAGTTTCCTATGCCTTTAGGGGGAAAAAAAAAAAAGAAAACAAGAAAAAACAACACAATTCAATGCTGAGGGCTATCCATGTTAGATGACAAACCTCCCTGCTCCTGTACTACAGGGTGCTGTTTTCCTGCATCACTGGCCAAACTCTTATGCCATGACTACTTCCTCTACCATTATTTGTCCTCATTTTTGTGCATTCCTTATCTGCAAATGTGATGTTCATAGAAATGACTCTATTCTTACATTCTGCTTTATGACTTTATTGCTGGCTTGTCCCTATTGAAAGAGTAAAAAAACATCTTAGAATAAAACTGGCGTTTGAGGATGTACGGGTATAGGGAATGCAGCAAGGCAGAGAACATGGAGGATGGGCAGAGCGGGTGAAAGGAGTCCTCTTCTCCACTCCATTGACAGTGGAGAAGAGAGGAAGGAAACAAAGTCAGAGAGAGGCTCTAGTCTAATAAACCTCTTGTGAGTATTGGCTCTTTGGCTGTTGGAACCTGAATTTTTTCTCTCTGGGGAAACTTCAGAAAAGGGCTAATTTCTGCATGTTTCCTTCCTCCTTTGTAATGAATAAATATTAAAGTGTGAAATGGAGGAATGTTAGTGCTGCATCAGGTACAAATTTCAATACAGCCTTAATTACAGAGTCACTATTAGGGTACATCCATGTCCCATCACTTATACATGATTACCTACTGGAGCCATCTCCACTATTTAAAATACAGCCATCACCTCTGTTTCAAGCGTGCTAGAACCTTAAATACCCCCTGTGAGGAAGTGTCTGATCTCTTAAAGAGCTCCAGGCTGTTCGCATCTGTAACCCTGAATCTCAGAGGGATGCTCTGACAGGGAGAGTAGGATCCTGTGGGAACAGGGTGATGGCTGGGGAACAGCTGAAAAGAGTTGTTGGCATTCGATACACTCTCTTAAGATGTCCTTTTGTCTTTTCTCCTGCCCCAGGGCCGATGCAAGAGACAGTGAAGGATTTCTGGAGAATGATTTGGCAAGAAAACTCTGCAAGTGTTGTCATGGTCACCAACTTGGTGGAAGTGGGCAGGGTAAGGGTTTCCACTTTCCCAGCATATAAAGCCAAACCAGCGCAGGGTATGACACGGTGCTGCTGTTCAGGCAAGCTCAGCAAGTGAAATGCCCTTTGCTTACTGTAGTAAGGGAATTAATTAAACCACTCTGGGTTTTTCTCTAAAATGCTAGATTTTGTAATATTCAGCTGCTTCCCTTCTAGACTAATAAGGATCATGTTCCTGGTGTAAGTCTCAGCTTTAGCAGAGTTATACAAATTTATGCTAGCCGAGAAGCTGTCTCCTTCTTCAGTACAGAAGGAAAAATGTACTTCTGTAGTAATTATTCTTTATGTAGAATTTGAATACTTCTCTACTCACAAAAATCCGGAGGGGCGAGAACATGCGACTGGTGTTCAAACTATTAAAAGAGCTCTTTAAATGACAGTTCAAAGCCTAGAGTTGCCAATCACTTCAGAAAACCACTCTTCCGTGGTGGTATGGGTTTGTGCACAGCTGGATCCTGGGGCCACCCAGCAGCGTTGGCCTCCTCAACACCCACCGCTTCACTCCCTTGGACTCAGGAACCAGAAGTCCCTGTGTCAGCACAAGGCAATTGCCAAAGCCCACGATGGGAGCAAACGTGAATAACTCAAAAGGCGTAGGCTAGACTTTAGGGAATAAGAAAAAGGCATGTCTGGAGTGGCTTTCCCCAGCATATTCTTCCCACTCCTGGTGGTCTTTAGTTTAGACATTCTCAGCCAGAAACTGGAGCTCTTAAAAATTTTGTCCTGATGTTTGTCACCTTCCATTGCTTTGCTACTAAGAAAAACTTAAATGATAGTTTACTCACAGCCATTAGTAATTCAGCTGCTTTGTATCGGATTTCCTTTAGATCTCATGGTTGAATGCTAGCTGGTTCTGTTCATTTATTATTACTTATTCTATTTTACCATCTATTGACACTTCAGTTTGAAATAAATGCCTCTGTGTAAAAAAACCCAACAAACCTACATTAATCCTATTTAATATTTATAAAACCCCTTCCGATTATGATTGGATCTGGAACATGAAACCTGCTTCGCAGTAGCTAATTGCTTTTAGGTGCTGTTCCACTCTTTCATGCTAGAGCATTTAATAACTTGATAGACTTTGTTAGCCTAAATATCCCTTCTAGAGCTTCACAGCCTTGGCTTTAATTTCTGCTATTAGTTTTGCACATGGCTTCTAGAAGTGGCTGAGCTTGGGATATTTTTACGTGATCAGATTTCTTTCTTGAGCCTTAGCTGAGGCCTGTCACAGCTGGTAAAATGTCAAATTTGTGTCCCCATCTGATAACGAAGCTTAGAGTCAAACAAATTTAATGTGTCAACAAGTATCTCACAATCCCTATGAACTGAAATTCTTTGGCTAAACAGAGTTCAGAATTACAGTAGCAATAGCAAGAGCGTAGATTTTTCCCAAAGGGGATGGTGGTCGTGACTGCCAGGTATTCTGTAAACCTGATATATTGTCAGGGCATGTATGGAAATTTAAGGAAGACTGTCTTAAAGAAGAAGAGCTGAATGCATCCTTTTCATTTGTATTCACAACAGAGGAAACTGAAGAAAATTCTCCCTGTGGTTTCTATATATGGTAAAGGAATTTTGATCGAATTTATGCAGTTAATTTTGACAAGGTCTGTACATCAGAAGAAAGCCCAATTTGCATTGGCTTCGGCTTGAAAGTGGAGTAAAATGTAGGTCAGCTCTGACTCAACTTGAGCTAGTTCCTCTCAATATTTTCTTTTTTCCCCCAGGTAAAGTGTGTTCGATACTGGCCGGATGACACAGAGGTCTATGGAGATATTAAAGTCACATTAATTGAGACAGAACCATTGGCAGAGTATGTCATACGCACGTTTACTGTACAAAAGGTAAGGAAATCTTCAATCAGCTGAAACTTCGATGCAACACTTAATTTGTGTTCGTAAATGTGAACTCTGGGAAACATATCCAGAATGCTCTTGGAGATGGGAGCTGTTACTATTTGGACAGGTTTCACTTCAGAAACCTAAATTTTTGACAGAGATTCCAATTTTGGACAAATGATTTTAAATTAACATCTTGATGTAGCCACAAAAGTAGAATCCACAGTGCATGAAGTTTAAACGCATCCAAAAGCCAGCAGATAGTTGATGTTATGCCAGGAATAATAACTGTCATGTTTCACAGTGGCAAATTACAGATGAAAAAAGAGATCAGTTAAAATGGATGCCAGGTAGGATCACCTTTCAACAGAAATAAAAATACAATAAAGGCAAGAGTATAAAAATTATCCCCAAATCGGCAGGATTTGGAAGATTTTTGTTACATGTAATTAGAAATTGGAAGTCTAAGTGTCAGAGTATTCCAGATCTGTCCAAATTACTCTCCAAACACTCAGTAAGTGGTTTTAAAGCTTTTCAAAAATTCCTGCTAAATGAACTTCAGCCACACTGGGAATATTGTTCCAGTTTTCTAATACATCGGCTCCATATTTCATTAAATCACTGAAAAACATGGTAAGAAATGCTAATGCCAAAATCTGAGAGGTTAGAGGACCTGCTGCTGGATTCCACCTACATTTCCCGTACTATAAAATGTCACAGCTAACTGACACTTCTGTGTTACCCTTTGCAGGGCATATACAAGTGGTGTCAATTTTCAGGTAGCAGTAACCTGGTCTCAGCAGAAAGGCTGAGTGATGGGTCTGGGTACCAGTTTCTGCCCTTTTCACCACCAGCTGTAATCTCAAACTGAGATTTTTTGGCAGGAGATGGCAGAAAATCTACCGTTGCCTGCGGCATGCCCACTCTGTAGGTGTTCATTCCCCAGGCTGTTACTTCAGCACCTCAAAAAGGATTTAAGAGTGACTTCTTGGGGGTTTATGGCAATAACGCCAAAGGAGGCTGGATAAGTGCAGCCGTGGTATGCGGGGACTGAAGTCACCCTGTAAAGTTCCTAATCAGCTGGGTTTGAACTCTAAGACAACAAGTTTGAATTTGGGAGCTGGCATTCACCTTCATAGTCCTCAGTTGTATGTTACCCACTTCAGTGTACTTGGAGTTCAGCTTAAAATCTCTCAAAGTGAAAAGCGGCGCAGGACACGTTCCCGCGTATAATGGGAGCTAAACGCTTGTTCAGCCCTCTGCGTGAGGGAAAGAAGCAGTGATCAGAATATGCTGATTGCAGTCTGACAGAAGAAAAGTAGAGGCTGTGTTATCTCCTCAGAAAGGCTACCATGAGATCCGAGAGATTCGGCAGTTCCACTTCACCAGCTGGCCGGACCACGGGGTTCCCTGCTATGCCACAGGCCTCCTGGGCTTCGTTCGTCAAGTGAAGTTTCTCAATCCCCCAGAAGCAGGACCCATTGTGGTGCACTGCAGGTATGTGAGCTCTTTCAGCCTTTTCTCCATCAGCTTTTTCAGCTTTTTTCCTTTTTTTCTTTTCATCTGGCAATAATCACCTACATTTTGTTTGTTTAAGAGTATAATTTCATGGGGAAACAAAGTGGAGTTTGGTTTTCTTTTTGAAAGTGACAGCTCTGGAGCTTAGCTGGCATGAGTTGGAGATGATATAAGTAGGTCAGAGAGGGCCATTCGAATGCAGAAGACCCTCTGGTAGCCTATACTCTCTTAGATGCTCATAGCAGAGCCAGGAAAATGGTAGATATCTGGGACAGCCATTCCAATCGTTATCTACAACAAACCTCTCGTGGCAGAAGGGGTGATGCCTACAAAACGACAGTGCTGCCAACGGGGAATTTCAAAGCAACTTTGCTTTTCTTTACCCACATGCACTGCAGTTCAGCTCTGTACCAGCATCAATAGTCTTACCTGAAACATTAGTTTGTCTTCCTGGGTCTGGACGCCAGCTGTTGTGCGTCTTGGTCTTCTCAAAGCCCAGGAGCTGGAATGGGCATGTCAGACTGAAAACCTGCCCAGCGCCTTCCAGCTAGTAAATAAAAGGGGAATTTCACAGTTTACAGCTGTGAAAATTCGGACTATTGAATCACGTGCTTGCTAACTCCCTGGCTGCCACTGTTACTGGTGAGGGCTCTTCTGCACTGTTTTCTTCCAGCTGAGCTTAAAGCCCTGCTGTGCAAGGCACTATATGAATATGTAGGAGAGTGTCCCTGACATGAAGAACTAACAGTTTGAGGTGTGATCAGGCATGCTGCTGATGGTGGGAGGGCAGACACACACACACACAGACTGGTATCAGAGTTAGGTGACTTCAAATGCAAGGCAAGACATTGCTACAAAAACAGAGTTTGGGTTTGTAGCAGCTACTTCTGCAGGGCTCGGGCCATAGCTCGGGGCACGTGTTCTATAAAGGAGACATGGCTGGAGCACAAGGCTATAGAGAGCAGAGCTGGCTATCGCAAAATCTCACCCCTAATCAATCCACAGGCAATTACCGCTAACTGCCATGCTGTGTGATCAGGAAGAGAGAGAGAATGCATCCCACAACCACTTTGAAAAGGAAAATCAATTAAATCTTACCTTTTTAAAACAGTTTTGGGTTGGAGGGGTGTTTTGTTTTGTCGTTTTTTTTTTTAGCAAGCAGTGAATCAGTTTTATAATAAAATACAGCTAAGCCTGAGGAGCTGGCAGAAGGGAATTCATTCAGAGCTCAGGGCCTGAATTTGCTACCTTGGTGCCATGACACGGGTCTGGCCCTGGAAGGAGTCTGAACCTGATTCATTGCCGCCAAGAAAGCAAGGAGAAATTTTTCATCCTTCACATTTTAATGAATGAATGCCATTTCCTCTCTGTTATTTATCTGCTTTTGAATTTTAATGACTTGCTTTAAGTGGTAATTACCAAATTCTCCCTACCGATGCCTGGCTGGATAATATCACTGTTCGATATTTATGAAGTGCCAGGATCCTCTAAATATAGAAATGTTATAACTATTTGTTAAAATTCTGAAAAGCTGAGAGATAAAGGCAGAGGAAATGCCACTTATTCATTAAAATTCTGCAAATGAAAAATATCTTCTCTCTATTCAGCAGTTGATTAATCTGGTCCATTAATTTATGGTCATTCATATCTCCTTGCTTTCGGCTCTGCTGGAGTTTTCGTGCAACTGAAGTTTCCCTGATTTGAGCTGAGTTTTCCTTCTTCCTTTGGAGTAACGTGAAGAGACGTTCTCCTCTCTCTATCCTTCACACCTAAACAGCTTGGGTGATTTCCCAGGAGGGAAGGAGGACACAACGACAACACAGTTTTGCAGGAGATGGTCCAATTCTCGCAAGCAGTGGGGGGCTCTAAACTGAAGGTTTTGAGTAGCCTCAAGCTCCTTTCTCTATAATTTTACAGTCCACAACTTGAAATCACCCTCCTCAGGACCCAAACTCCTCTGGATTAAAAAGGGAAAAGAAATGTTTGAGGTGGAGGACTGAGCCCCTTTCATCATGCCCACTTGATTAAACATGTGCATGCCTTTTAAATAGTCCCATGGAAGAAAATTTCTGGAATTGTGTCTGTCTGCAGCCTGGATGCTGCTCTCCCACATCCCGTGTGATGAGAGGTGTGCAGGTGAACCGACCTGTAAAACCATAATGATTATTTTCGTAGAGTAATTTTTTTGTTGATATTCAAGAACACAAAGCTTTTTTTTCTGCTACCTGAGTCCATTTCTCTTTCAAGAAATATTATTTCTCCTCATTCTCTTAAATCCTAAGCTAATTTAGCTACACACAAAAATCAACCGAGCAGGGAGAGGGGAGCAGCTTCCAAGAGAAGACAGCTGTGTCTGTGATGCAGTTATTTTCTCCTCCACAGAGCCCTGCCTCTCCACGGTCCCTTGGTCATGCAGACCCTCATGGTTTTTTCTTTTTTTAGTGCTGGGGCTGGGAGAACAGGGTGCTTTATTGCCATCGACATCATGCTTGACATGGCAGAGAACGAAGGCGTGGTGGATATATTTAACTGTGTGCGAGAGCTGCGATCCCAAAGGGTCAATTTGGTGCAGACGGAGGTAGGTGCCAGCGGGTCTCCTCTTACAACATACTGCTTTTCTGTCAGCTTCTCTGCTCAACAGGAGCCCAGCAATTCATTAAGTCAACACATGCTTGTTCTGTGATGTGATTATACAGAACTTTCGGTGGCTAAACATGTTCAGGTATGCACCAAATCACATTCACTGGCAGCTACTCAGGGCCTCCAAGACAGGAGGGCAAACCTTGAAGTTTAGGTCTTAGCATTGCTGATTAATTTTATTCTCATAGTAGAAAAAAAGCTAGCTCCTGAATCCTCTCATGACTCATTCATAGGTGTACTGCAGGCTCCAATAGTACCTAGTTTATATCAATGCAGAGCTAAACAAATGAAACATCCTTGATTCAAGCTTTGGGTGCTGATTAAGCAAGCTGCTCTATCACGTAGCGTCTAGCACCTGCACAAACGTCTGTGGAACTGTTATCCTGCTGCACAAGTTTTATGTGTGTGCTTCAATGCCTTCCCCTCCGGAGGGACAAGGACAATAGCCTGAACAGGGAAGGGCTTTTAACTTTCTTGGACTTCTCATATTTAGTTCAGGGAAAGAACTTTACCCAGAGTACCAAGAGTCCAGGGGTTTTGAAGAGACAGGTGGAGCAGACCTGTTAGTACAGTTGTTTCGGTGGTGTTATGATAGGTCCAAAGCACAGTCCATTCCTGACCTCACACATTGCCTCGTGGTTGTGAACAGAAAACCTTTACACCCTGATTTCCTCCTCAGCCCACCCCCATTTTGTCCCCCATGTCCCCCCCATTCCTGAGAGTGGTGACTTCCCATTTTACTTGTAAATTTGAAATGAATACATGAGACCTTACATTCAATGATGGATGAAATATGCTCACAAAGCTGTCACGTAGCACACTGTGTAATTTGTCTCCACATGAAACAGAGCCAAATACGCATATTGGGCATGATTTAAGAAAAAAAAAAAAAAGGCATGATGTTTCATGATCTGTATTGAAAATATGATTTTAATATCTTATCCCCTCCCCTGTGCAGGAGCAGTATGTATTTGTCCATGATGCCATTTTGGAGGCGTGTCTCTGTGGCAACACGGCCATTCCAGTTTGTGAGTTCAGATCCATATATTACAACATCAGCAGACTAGATCCGCAGACCAATTCCAGCCAGATAAAAGATGAGTTTCAGGTAATTTAATGTGTCTCAGTCATTGCAGTTGGTGTATTGAAGGTGTTTAATCAATTTCTGTGTGTTGTTTTACAATTTCCAACGGAGCAGAGAAGAGGGATACCGAGCCAAGGTTTGATTTCAGCTGATTTTTGTATTTACTACTGGATCAGGCAGAGATTTGTTTTTGAGCATGGACTTTCCGGCCTTTGGCAAGGAAAAAAATTTCCCCATCACTTCAGTAGAGCAAGGATACTAATTTTCACACATAATGTTATACTTCTCATTTCATCAAATATTCTGTTGTTCATTTTCTTCTGTAATTTATGGAGAAACATTTATGCCTCAAAGCCCCTTATTATCTGTTCTCGTGGCTTATATGCTGCTTCTGAGTCTTGACAATCAACTTGTTGACGTCCTTCCATACAAAGCACAAAGTAAGCTCAGTGAGCGTTACTGTCTCTATTACTAATTTTCAATTAACTGAATCCCTCAGTTCACTATGTATGTTTCGCCAAGTACCTGGTGGTGAGAACTGAAATGACTTGTAATAAAACTCACAAGTGCTAGAGTAGCGCGGTTTGCCTGGGGCAAGCGATGAAATGGGGACCCCTCCACCTTTTGCTATCACCATTGCTTATCCCACCCTAATAAACGGGCTTGGGACACACGAGCCCTGTGCAGTTCTACCTCTTGCACAGCAAAGAGCTCACCCTGCAGAACAGCGAACTAAGCTTTCCAGTCTTATTCCTCATATATCTGTAAATCCCTTTAGGGTTTTCAGCCAACGCCGATGTATGGAGAAAACAATATTGTGGGAAATCTGGGGCAAGGTGAATTTGACAGGAAAGAGAGAGACCTCTGCTATGTGTTAAGAGGCCGTTCTTCTTAGTCAGCACTAAAAAGGTGGAGATTCCTTTAATTGTAGGAAGTGCGTTTTCCCCCGCTTTCCCAGCAAAGTATGTTTTGCAGCAGGAGAACATCTTTTGGAGGCCCAGTCTGAGTCAGATGCCTCTTTTCCTCCCTCTCTACGCAAAGGGAGAATGTGTGGGTTTTATCTGAAACCTTACAGGGAATCATCAGGGTTGGTATAGTGAGATAAAGAATGTGGATCCCAACTGATGACAGTTCAACTAAAAAAAGATCTGGTTTTATCAAGTGATGTCAGATCTGTAAAAGTGTTTCTGGTTCTGGACGCTTGGCAAGAAGGAGCCAAAGCCTAACTTCATCAAATGCTGTTATGCTATTAAAAAAAAAAGTCACCGCTTGCTGGGCTTATTTTGTCATGATATGAGACGAGGCTTGTTGCCTGCGTGCTTGTTCTTTTGAGCTGCCAGGGGCTGGCAACTCCTGTGAGAAGGAAATGTTCCGCTGTACTTGGCGTAAGAGGTTCGTTCTCTGTCTAGTTGTAGAATCTATTTTTACAGGATTTTGGCTCAGAGCATTCTTCAGCCCTAATTGTCTGGATTTAATGCAAAAGATGGTATCTTTTGCTACAATCTTTATGAACCAGTTGATCCAACTATGGATCTGTTGGTGTAATTTTGTATTATTTATTTAGATCCCACTAGCCCTCAGGTAAGGCTGGATGGATTTCTCATGCACTACATGTTGTCTGAACATGCAAAAACTTGTTCTAGAGAGTTTTTGTAATCTGAATAAGTACAAAGGCAAGGGAGATAGGGGAAGGGCATAAAATAGACAGGAGTAAATCACTATCAAGTCAACTGCCTAATTATCTGCACTGTCAGAGATCTGAGCTTTCGTGTTCCTTCCCCAGCCGGACTACCTGCTTTCCATCTCTAGACAAAGGGACTTTTATGTAGAACCTGCATAATTTAGCGCAACTATATTATTTCAAATTTATACTTTGACACATTGCTTTATCTTGGATTGTTTGACCCTCCTCTTTTCTCCATTCATAATCTCTCTGTGGCAGAAGTCAAGCTCTTTGTAAGAATTTTTGGCCCCTAAATATTTTGCATTCCTCTGATGGCTGCAAAGGAATTCGCTATATGACTGCATGGGCTTCGCTCAGGAAGAGGACACATAACAAGTAAAAGTAGAATGATGTCAGATAGCCACTGATCTACAAGATCTTGCCCCTCACTACAAGAAGGACATTGAGATGTTGGAACGTGTCCAGAGAAGGGCAACGAGGCTGGTGAGGGGTCTGGAGAACAAGTCTTATGAGGAGCGGCTGAGGGAACTGGGGTTGTTTAGCCTGGAGAAAAGGAGGCTGAGGGGAGACCTCATCGCTCTCTACAACTACCTGAAAGGAGGTTGTAGCGAGGTGGGGGTTGGTCTCTTCTCCCAAGTAACAAGCAATAGGACGAGAGGAAATGGCCTCAAGTTGCGCCAGGGGAGGTTTAGATTGGATGTGAGGAAAAATTTCTTTACTGAAAGAGTAGTTAAACATTGGAACAGGCTGCCCAGGGAAGTGGTTGAGTCCCCATCCCTGGAAGTATTTAAAAGACGGGTAGATGAGGCGCTTAGGGACATGGTTTAGTGGGCATGGTGGTGTTGGGTTGACGGTTGGACTTGATGATCTTGGAGGTCTCTTCCAACCTTAATGATTCTATGATTCTATGATTCTACCATGACTTAAGCAACAGCGTTAAGATGCGTTCACTTTGATTTGCTATTTTTGGTCCCTGCTGACCAACCTGGCCTGGTTTGTCAGGAGGCCTCTGCAATGGATAACACAGAAGAAAATTAGATTTAAAGAAATACAGTCTGTCAAGCTGTGGGAAAGGCGGATAACGGTAAAAGACTGACAGCAAAACCCCAGAGATAAGGTATGATTGTGTAAGTGAAGCATCCTATGTGTCACTCCAAAAGGAAAGTAGCAATCTAAATAATATATGAAACAAATAGACTTTCCTGTTAAAAAAACCCCAACATTTTCTCTTAGGTTTTTATACGCATTGTTAAGATAAATCAGTAGTTTGACTGAGGAGTCACCAGAGGATTTGAACCCAGTCTGACCTGCTGGATGAGCCAGGTCAATACTCAGGGTACTTCTGCACAGGATCCACTTGAAGAGGGAGAAGGATGCATGCTTCCACCCTAGGGATGGTAGAAACACGAGGAGGTTTCACTCCATGACCAGGTCAAAGCTGCAACTTGTACCTGTGACAGCTATTTCCAACCTCTAGGAAAGAACAGAAATGGTATCTGCTGTGGGGTTTTAGAGCTGGAAATTGTTGGAAGGTGTGTAATGCCCTCAATTTATGCTGGAGCTTACGGTGTTCAGAAGAACACCTCAGGATGATGTACAAAATGCAATTATAACAGCAACGAGCTCCTCAGTGCTCCTTCTTTTTCATTCTCTGGGATCCCAAAGATCTGCTAGTCTAAGTACCTTTAAAATAAGCATACTGTGCAGATGGCATCCTTCTTGGAAGTAAATTCAAAGACACTCAGCCTACTTCTGTCTTTCTTTCCCTTCTTCCCTCTCTCCTTCACAGACTCTCAATATTGTGACACCGCGTGTTCGGCCAGAAGATTGCAGCATTGGTCTTTTGCCAAGGAACCATGACAAGAACCGCTGCATGGACGTGTTGCCCTTGGACCGGTGCCTGCCTTTCCTCATCTCTGTGGATGGCGAATCAAGTAACTACATCAATGCTGCGCTCATGGATGTAAGCAGCACTGCGCAGTCCCCACTGATGCTAGCCTGCATCGAGCTTATTCGTTCTCAGGATGCTTTTCTGGGAGAAATGGATCCGGAGCAAAACCCCTTTTTACCTGCAGTTTCTGGGTCTGACATCTCCAAACTGGGCCAAGGCACACAGAAATGTGTCGCCTAGACTATGATTATCACACTGCCGTTGTAGTTCTGCCTCACATTGGTGGAAGTTTTTTGATGAAGTTCATGAGCATGCAGTCTGAGGCTTTATCTTAGGCAGATGGACAAAGAAGTGGTGGGACAACTCTTCCCATACATTGATCGTCGTATAACTCGGAAGAGAAATGTTCGCCAGGAGCTGCCAGATCAGCTCTTTGAAAAGAACAGTTTGCAGTGTGGACCAAGTGATTTATTTGAGCTTATGCAGTTAAGAATATGGGAGTACAGGGATCAGATGTGCAAAATACTTTAAGGCTGAAGGACATGAGTTAAGCTGATGTAAATCTGTCTGAAGGCATTTTCCCTTGCTTTGTTTATAGGCTAGAATCCCACAGCGCACGTCATTTGTATAGGGTGAATTATGTTGATGGTTTCTTTTTGCTGTGGTGCCTAACTGCCTTTGGACAGAGATGTCTTTAAAGCCGCTAATTATTGCAGTTGGAGTATGTGTAAATATGATCCAGGGTGAAGTGTCATAATTTTTTCCCTAGCAATGTTGGGGTCGGTCTTTTTTAATTTTGTCTGTTCTTTCAGTCTTTGGGGAACAGTGATCCTACTGCATTTAAGAGGTTAAGTCAAATGGTCATAGAATTAATTTTAGATTTTTTTCAGAAAGATTGTGATGTTTTCATTGCAAATACGCCTGAGGAAGCTTTTTTTTTTTCTTTAAAGTGTGTTTTGTGCTTTGGCAAATCTGCAGAAGCACAATCAATTCTTCTCTGGTTTCTTAGGGACTGGGAATGTGTTTGCACATTTCATCCCTCATTACCTCCAAGCACTTTGCTAATACTTGTATCCTTCCCCACAAAATTCCTGCTAATTAAATTTTTTTGTAGGAAAGGAATTTTTCACCCGTCATTGAAATTCAGCCACTATGATGTTCTGTAGCTCTCCTTTATCCTTCCATAGAGGAATCAGCAGCTTTTGAAAAAAAAAAATCAGAGAGGGGAACAGCTAAAATACTACAT